ATAAGAGTTAGAACAACATCCTTAGAAAATAGAAATATAAAGGTTGACACCTTTTCCGTCAGAATCGTATTTCGTTTTCTATGGTGATAAATTTAACATATAGAATACAGTGACCGTAGTGCACTCGAAACCTACTATACAACAGAACAACTTATGCTTAGTCAATTTAGTTTTAAAGGACAATTTTGAAAAAAAAACATTCAATTTAATCGTACGAAAGTAGCATGAATGTTTGGAGTAAAACGACACGAGGGTGTCTCAAATTTTTGACGAAAAGCAGAAAAAGAAACTTTTATTTAAGCTCAGACAGAAAATTCCATTTTCTGAAACGTAAGACAATAATAACAAAGCAATAGCTTGAAGGCTTCTATCATTTCAGTTGACGCTGACAAATCTCCGGTTCAGCCAATTTCCTTTCAGTCTCCTTGCGGATAAACCTAACTGTTTTCACTTGAATTAGGACAATAATGACCATTGTTTCTGCAACCTACCATTATTTTTTTATATGATTTTTTGCTCCCCTTAGTTTTTAACGCTGACAAAAAAAACGAAGTTAATAAATGGCCACTTGTCTATATTATACAGTGATCGATTATTCGGGAAAACATTGTTAGTGGCTGAACAATTTTCCAAACGAATGATCACTGAACTTTACAATAAAAAAGCTTCAATAGTTCTGACATTCCAATCAGAGTTTTATAATTAACCGTAACAGCTACTAAATATAACAAATCAGCTTTTGATACTATTACAGTTTTTATTATACCGATAAAATAGGTGAATGAAATAAGAGGTATATATACTATATCTATGTTCATATATCTAGTGGAACTCTACAATAGTGTAATATTGTAATGTATGTGACCACCTTGTACAGCATAAACTCTAGGATATATGAATACAAAAGAGGAAAAACACCTACATGCAATATTCTAGAGTGGATAAGTGGGGTGGTAACAAGACTGGTATTTACAAAACTTTTCAAAAATAGTCATATCATCATATTATCCAAACAAATACACAATTTCTAAATTTAGAAAAATAAAATAATTTGTTTTTATATAGGTAGTTAAATTGTACTTAAGCCGTACCTACCAAAATGTATAAATACCACTATATAATAATGAAAATAATAGTATAATTACTTAGATATAAAAATAGAGTATAGTTTCACCAAAATGACTGCTATAAATAATACAGATTTATTATAATATTGGTATCTAGGTATTATTTACAATTAATAAACCTAACAGATGATTTAATAAATATAACTTATTTACAATTTAAAAGAGAAATTTGTTTAAATTTCAGCTAACTATTATTTCAATATAAAAAAATAAATAAGTGTGACCAGCAGGTACTATAATCACATAAAACTCAAAAAAGTACGTATGTTATTTTTTTTTTTCAATTTAAATAAATAGAAATACAAATAAGCATAGAATTACCGAGATTAGAATATTAGGTTAAGAAAAAGCATAGAATATTTTTAAAAATCTTTGATTCGATTTTAAATAATTCATACGGAATATGTGGTACAAGTCTACAACACTTCAACACTACCTAGTAGTCTAGTACCTACGTCATATTATAAATATGTATGGCTAAAGACGAAAGTAAGAGTTCAATGAGATTCTTAAGTAAAACTTTTTTTTAATGTATTTTTACCAGATAACGAGATCAGTACTGAAATCTAGGGTAAATATGAAGTCAAAACATTTGTAAGTTAAAATAAAAGGCAATAAGATTATTTTGTAAAAAATAATAGTTTAACTTTGCCTTAAGGGGTGTTGTTAAATACATTTTATCTCGAATTTTTAGTACACCTAGTCAACATATACATGTTTTTCACGCCCATTTAATCATGAACACTGATGAAAAATTATTATAATTCAACGGGTTTTTTTATAACACTTCATATTAAAACATGGTATAGGGTAAATCCCGGACACAGTTAGATAGGGTAAACAATATGTTAGTGTTTACGAGTACAAAACACGTAATTTATTGACTAATAAATAGTAGCAGTATCTATTTTTTTGATTACCTACGTGCGCTGTAATTATTTATTTTTTAATTATGATAATCCTCTTTGAATTTAAAACATTTTATTTATTTAAAATACGCAGTTGAGTACCTATACACAGCTCGGGCTCAACATAACTCTGTTAATTTTTACCTATTGACTCGTAATGCTTGAGAAATTCTTTAGGTACTTATTTACCCTTCACTTTTAATCGACGAATTCACATTTCGATCGAGTTAGGTAGTATATTCATTTTAATAATCAATGTTATGAAAGTACAAAAATGTCACTTACAATGAATTTACCCCAGAATTTACACGAGATTGTTGAAGCGATTAAAAGAATAGTTTGAAGATAAACGTTCGATATAGGAAAATAATTTGAATTTACAATTCATCATATGGGTTTACCTCTGCATATTTACGTGGCGAAAATGTTTTTTTCCTATGTCGTGTTAATGAATAATATCAACCCTTTTCTGTCTCTATCTGTCTTTCACTCAATACATTAAACCATAATGACAAAAAAAGGGTATGCCACAGATATTATGCGTTGGCACGGAGGACCTACTATGGCTGCCAAAAGGACTACGACCGGTGTCTTTGTCGTCCTTTTATAGCTTTATTTGAACTAATAAAGCATGGCCCGGGGCGGCGATGACCTGTTCCGTTCTATGCGTGCACACTGACACACACAATCACCACACAGTACCTACACAACGATGCACATACAGTGCTTGTGTGTGAGGTCTCTAGAAAACCTGTTACTAACGAAAAACCAGTCCCTAGTGTCTTCACTCTTTCTCACTCCCACTATAATAATTATACTTCGGTACGGATAGCTTATGTACACGCATACACCAAGCACTGTTTTTCACCCCGATTCAAGGTTAAACTATAAATGTAACACTTTTTTTTTTAAATTATAAATATTTTTGACATTTTGAAAATGTGTTTGGATTTATAAATTCTAAGATATAACTAAGTTATATTTTCGAACACCGAAACCGTCGATACTAGATTATTTTGAGTAATTTCCAATTTGGCCCATGTATATCATAATAAGAATTAAAATATTATAATAATAAGGTACCTAATACAACTGTTTAATAATAATTACAAATTATTGGAGTATGATAGTATGAATAGTATCTAAGTTATATCCTAATACCCAGGTACTAAAAGCTTTCATTCAACTTATTTAAAACGTGCCACTGTTAGAATAATTATAATACATTAAGTCTTCCCAAACATACATTAAAGAATAAACCTATAATTGCTGATGAGTGATGACATTGGTTTTTGAGTAAATTACTATTATATTGTTCAAAAAAATCCACAAAATAAATAACACTACCTATTTACGATGAATTGTACCCACAGTCGTTAGAAAATGCGTGATAATTCTGTTAGGAGGATGTGGGTGTGTAAAATCGTTGAATGTGAGTTTAATAGCACATAAATATTTTTATTTTTTTTCTAAATCTATCCCACTATTGAAAAGAATACCATAACGATATTACGATATTACATCTCAATCAATACTCTTACGCCCGCACAATTTGTTTTTAAACGAGGCATTTGAGTAAACAAATAAAATATACCATATAAGTAGGATATAACTCGAGACATAACCACTACTGAATTTAGCATATAATTAGATATATGTGATAAATTTATTTGCTATTTTCTAATTAGTAAATCACGTCATGTTAACTCATATAATAACGTAAACAGTTTACGACTTGCAGCAAAATACAACGAAACCGGTTTTTGTTAATACATAAATATAATGTAAGTTTAGTGAGTGTATAGGTTATGCATGTATTTTAAAATATATATTTTCTGATAAATAGTGTACCCAATAATAAGAAGGCGGTCACTATTTTCATGTAAAAAAAAAAATAAAGGTTTACGCATACAAATGCAGATTTCAACATCGTTTGATCATACACCTAACAATATTAATCAGTCAAAAGACACAGGTTGGGTCAACAGAAAAGTCTGTATCGACAGTAGGTTCCTATTGCATTTTGTCTGTATACGGAAGGTAAGAGAATTGTGTATTATAGGTAGATTCATCGATGTATCGATGAAAAATAATAAAGGGCAATGGTTAAAAAGGATTTTGTATTCGGGCCAAGGTCGATCATAGTAGCACGGTACGTTGTCCTCAGTACCTACTACCTAGCGCAGACATTGAGGAAACTTTGTTGTTTTTTTCTAAGAATAAAAAAATCCAATACCAAACACGTCCTTACTTAATCCCCGCCGGGCGGTGTGGCTTTCTAAATAGTGACCGGGGATTATCGTTATAAATACGGATGTGTCTGTACCGCATTATAATATACAACAATATTATAATATATATACATAGGTAATACACACACACACACACACACACACACACACACACACACACACACAAGCGCGAGCGCGAGCGCGGGTATAGGCGTATTACAATGATATTATGATAATAGCGCACCGCCTAACAAAGAAGATGCAGCTCACACGGGACAACACCTGGACCCGCCGCCGCTCGACCACCGTGTGATCTGCCGCGTGCAACATAACACTGTCTATTATATTATATTATACCTTCTACTCGGTGGAGTCGCCGTACAGTCTACACGTGCACAATGGGCCCGGGTTCGCCGAAAATCCGTAGAAATACGCGTCATAAAAACATATATTATCATATATAGGAGGTATTTTATACAATGCACGATACTTTTGATGTACACCAAAAGGCATGCCAATAAATAATATGTACCACGGTCACGGTCTACCCCGATGATAAAATATATTATAAATAATAATATCGCCATCGGTAGAATACCTCGCGCGATCACCGGCCAGGTTTACGAAAACGTTCAGTAGCTCTAGGTGAACGACGGTACCTTCGGAAACGTGTATCGTGCATGCATAACTCATGAACGAATAAAATGTGTAATATCAAACAATAAGATACGCACCTCTTCAAATTCAAAATCTTCGTCTGCTTTCCACTTTTTTTTTGCGTCAGCTGCGCAGGCGATGAGCAGCAGCAACACGGCTGTGCCGGTGGTCAGCCACCACTTGTTCATCGTCGTCGTCGGCGGTCAACGACAACAAAGATATTATTCGATCGCCGGATTCGTAGACGGGCGCGTGTGTTATTTACCGTGAATCACGGACGGAAAGACGAAATAAAATAAAAAACGAATGACCGAGTAAGCAGTCGGACAGGTACCGCCAGAAAAACGGAGCGCTTACTATTTTTTGATTTATTTACTCTTTCCCCCCTCACATTTACACGCGTCCGGCGGCGAAAACGACGGACAATAGACCATAAAAACGAAATCAAAATTGTTAAGAAAAATTTTTTTTTTAAAAAAACGTGACTGTCCGAACTTTAACACTCGGCGACAGGGCAACTGGTATGGCACACTGTGATACGTGCGGCGCGGGGCGATCGACTGCAGCGACGGCGGCGAACGCGCGAGGTCGAGGAAAATACGAAATAATATTATCGTGCGCGGACGAACGCTACGATCGTCGGTAACTGTCCCCCGGCCACCGCCCGCCTACCAGCCAGTCAACGTCCCTCGACGGAGCGAACCGGGAACTGCAGTGCGTGCGCCGCGACCGTAACGAAATTACCGTAGGATCGTAGTCTTGGCGTGGCTGTCCACCGCATGTTTATCGATTCTATAAAAATGTGTCGTGCGCGGTGATAAGGCGGCACTAAGGCAGTATTAGTATAGGAGCCTGGAGGCAGTATTTGAGTACAGACGGTTTAGGTACAATAGGTATCTACCGACTACCATCTAGCCATGTATAGACATTAGACAGTGGCCAGTGAGTTGTAACTTGTAGGAACAACCACAGTTTGTTATTCAATTGTTGTCAATAGATTTTGATGTACGATACACGATCAAAATTATTAAGTTTGCTATTGATTTTTTAGTTAAAAACGCATTCAATCATACCTAAGGTTAGAATAGTAATAGGTTACAAGAATTATAAAATAAAAATTGAGAGTAATTACGCAAATATTTTTTATGAGCGTCTGAAGATTAAATTTCAAAGAATGTGGATATTCACCCTTAAAATAACGATTATATTTATTTTATTTCAAATTCATAAAGTATAATAAGTAATCTTAAAAACTTGAATAAAAATAATTATACAATCATTTAAATTAACATTTTCTGTAACCGATGATATTTAAAAAATATTTAGACTAAATTTAACCAATTTATACCCCCCAAAAATTTAAATATGTCTAAATATTTTAAAAATTTCATGTATGGAAAATAATATAAACATAGAAATATGATAAAACAATGTTCTAATATTTTTTAAAATTACTACAAAATACCTAACATCCTTAAAAGCTGATATGAATAATTTAAAGGTCTGATGCCCTTAAAGCAGTTTATTTTCACTGGTATTATGATGCCTCAAATATGCTCCACTTATCTCATTCAATAATTCATGGTTTGAAGTCAATTCAAAATATCTTAAATAACATTTTTAAGATATAGATATTTATCCTTTAAATGCAATGTCAAAGGATAAAATCATTTGATTACACTTCACTCTCAAGTTTTTCCAGTATTGACAGTTGATATGGTAGGGGTTCGACCCCCCCCCCCCCACACACACACCAATTGATATATGAAAAACCATGATACATTTTATAATTCTCATAAAATATTACATTCCCCCCCCCCACTAAATTATAAAAAATGTGTGCCTTACCACCCATCCATGTGAAATGTATGAGCAATTTTCTGAGCATTTCTGACAACAATAGCCTCCTTAACTTGCTTTAAAATTAAAATATAAAAAAACTATCAGGTTCACTAGATCCTTACTTCTAAATTTTATAATAGGTCAAGTTGAATTGATTATTCAGAAAGTAGGTACGAGTTTGTACTACGGAGACAACACCCTCTGCAATGTTGCGTCCCCTTAACAAAAAGATGCCTAGAAATAGTTATCGACTGGTACAAGGTATACCATGAAGAATGTTCAAATATTGCACAACAACAACGACCAAAGATGATGAGAACTGCGATTGAACCAAATGCCAATACAGATTGACGATACTGCAGATTTGCCAGCAAGTGGAAAAATAGGTGCATCTACATATAACAGAGACCTCATAAATAAAAATTATCTTACTAAATTACAATTTATAATACTATATATTTACCAAAGCATTCTTGAGCATTTTATAATCAGTTAAGATAACTTACCTAATAGTAATTATTGATCAACCACCTGTATCAGAAATTCAGAAGATAATGAGACTGAAGTAAAATCGGTTGAGCCATAGTCTAAGAGTGGATGGAGTGTGGGTTTTGAGGATCAAAAAAAGTTTTAAATTGCCGATTTTGTGTGCAAAGATGAGATCGGGACACATTACTTCCAATATTCAGTGAGGGTGTAAAGTTGTTTCCGTTATTCATTCCGACGAGTGGGCGGCGTGTATAGTTATTTGAATAATGACAGCTATATAGGCCCTATAATCTATGATCATCAGTAAAATTACGTGGATTCGTTGATAGATGCTCACACAATGAAAGCCATCAACACCCTTCAATTCCACATTCCACCTGAGATTTAAAATAAAAGAATAGAGCCCGAATAATTTATTACATTTTTAAATGACATCCGAAAGCATGCATGTATCGTATTTAATTTCGTCAAAATATACATTTCAAACCATCATTGTAAAAGTAAAATCAATACATTCAACCTTCCTCTCAGAATCTAAAATATAATTTTTGTTGTTTTTTTTAATTCCTAGAACTTGTAAGTAAAATGTACAAGAAACTTATTGAATTAAATTTTCAAGCATTTTACCAATAATATACTAATAAAAATATCGGGTTAAAATGTCTGCATTTATACTTTATTCCTTTTTGAATGATAACAAAAAACATAATACTGTAGCGTACAGTGGTGTGCTTACGGAGGGGGGAGAATAACTCCTCCACTCCAAAAAAATAAAATAAAAATGTAATTCCAAGCACTCCACTGGTTACGTAAGTATTCTCGTTTTAACACTGTTTTTGTTAGTTTTTCTAAATTAAGAGAAAATTTGTGATTAGATTGTCAAGACTTTAGACCAACTAAAGTAACAAGTAGATCAAACTTTCTGACAAAGTGCAGAGGGCACACTCAAATACTCAATATTGTAGATAGAAGCATTCTTTTTTTTTACTCCAAAAAGTGGCATTATATATACAAGCAGGTGATGAATATTCACTTAGAAATCAGAGTCCAATATATATTTTAAAGAATACGATATTTTATGTTGTGCTCTGTGCAGTTGTGCGTCTTTCTGGATTCTAGATCTTATAATTTAGTATTACTCAATACCTACCCAACTTCTAGCTATATAGTAGCACCTATCGTAAATTCGTAGAGAAACCTCAAAATCGCAATATTTATTGCTGATAAATTAAATTACTGCCAAAACCGTTAGCTATCAGAATTTAAAAAGAATTTTAAAGGGGGTGGTCTCGTCCCGTGACTGTATAGTCTAGAAATACATGTTATAATGGCCCGATATCTTTGTTGTAAGTAAACATGGGAAGTGGTGGTGGTGGTGGTAAGTACTTAATTATGAAATTCCGTCATTTAAAATTTAAGTTCAGCCCGTCATTGATTACAACTATTGTATATTTCATACCGCAAATGTACAATAATTATTACCTATCTATTATATTAGTGCCAAGAGCCAGTGATGTGCGATGTTCACGGACTAAGATATAAGAGTTAAATTATTATCTAGGGCATCTCATATTTCTATATGAGATGCCCTAGATAATAATTTAATAAAAGTTCTCTTTTATTATTATTTAATTTTAAAGCAAGTTATAAGTGTTTTAAGATGCACAGACAATTTACAATTTATAAATACTAATAACTCGCTTAGAAATTAAAATATAATAAAAAGACCTCTAAGATGCTCTATATAATAATCTCACCTCTAAAATTTATAAGAGGTACATTCACTCTAATTTTTAAACTAACGGTGCTAAACATGATCTGCTGAGCTTAAAATTTGTTATGTTGCGCACTTGTAAGACGAAGACAACAAATGTTCGTGTAGCGTCCTCGTGTAATATATGTAGGTACGTATGCATTCATAACTTAGTTTATAGGTATATGCGTATATGTATGCAACCAACAATAAACTGAATAAACTCAAGCTGACGTCACATGTGTAATTATTATATGTCACCTTATTATCCAATGCAGTATGCACAAAACACAAGGCGATGCACATGCGCAAATTTGAACGAAAACACGAATCGTATTGACGTATTGAGCATACTTCTTTTTCCTTATACTATGATCAGTATAAGAAGAACGTGCTTATAATATACGCGATATAAAATGAACACCTTCCAGCCACCATATCACTACGCGTCTATCGTCTATGCCATACTGAAACAAAAGTCGCACGTAAGCAATTTAGCAATTTTAGAACGTGTTTGTTTTTAGGTGTTACACAGTGCATTTGGTGCGATATGCAGATATGCCGGTAACACAATACCCAGGTCAAAAATAGACGGTCACTCGATGAAAAATAATGGTATGTAGTAGGTACTAGGTAGATAATCGGCGGTTAGCGTGGACAAACCAGAAAAAAAAGATAAAAAAAACCACTGACTTCAAATATTTAATAAATACAATTATAAATTACAATTATTTATAAATTTAATGTATAAAATATTAGGCTTACTACCTATTACTTATTCGTCAATTTTCTTTTAGATTCTGTGCTTAGCGATTAATGTATACTATATTGATATTACAAAGATGTGCGTTTTTTTAAATTTTTTTTATTTCTGTGTCTGTCATCACTGTTTGAGGCAGTGAAAGTGCCTTCAACATAATCTTTTCTGGTAAGAAAGTGAATCTAGTTGGTGCATTCGGGAGCCGGGAGGTCAAAATTTAAAATTCCCAATAGATTTCAAAAGCGACAGGAAAAATAAACAAAAAATGAAGGAAAACGGGAATTTTTACGCAAAACCAGTTTCGAAAAAATCGATTTTGGTTTTTTGTGTACCTAACTCTAAAAAAGTTTTCTACACACCATACAATTTTCAAAATGTTATTGCCATAGGAGTGTTTACGAGAGGGGCCGGGTGGGCACTGCCCCCCCCCCGACAGACTGCCTCCAAAAAAAAATTATGCCAGAATAAATTTTTCTTTATTATTTATCTGTTTTTAATTTAGTTTTAAATGTATTTTTATTGTTTTGACAGTGGTTATACTTTTTGATCATAATTAAAAAATATTCCTGCCATTGTGAATTTTGTAACATAAATAATGAATGTTTCTTCATGTCAAAGAAAAAAGCCCCCTCGGTCACCAAAGTCGGAACACGCCTATGGTTATGGCTCATATTAAACTATATATAGGCATCCGAAATTTTGGATTATTATTTGTTTTTTTAAACTAATGTCGATAAAACATTTTTTGCATGGTTAAAAAACTTAAAAATCTAATACAAAGTTCCTCGTAAGTTGTTATTAGTGTAAATTAAAAAACAAATTGAGCTTAAATCCATAATACATTTTTATGCGAGTTTGAATTTAGAATGTTCACAAAATTCGTAAAAATCAAGAAAATTAGCAAATTATTTTTAGTTAGAAATCCGTAAAAATTTTCTTTTTACATCTAAGATTTAAAAATGTAATACGAAATTCCTTAAGGTACGGTTTCCCTGCAGCGTCTAGACGCAGCGTCAAGCGTCACTACCGGTCTGGACGTAGGTTGCGTCTAGACGCCGCGTCCGACGCAGCCATGCTGTTCTCGCGTCTGACGTTGCAGGGAAACCGTACCTTTATAAGTTTGTCTAGCTGTATAAAAAAAAAAAATTTACCGGAAAGTCAAATTAAATTTTTATGAGCATTTGAAGTAGAAATTTTACAACATTGGACATACACTCAATTTCTCATGTACCGATTTCCTTAATTTGTTGTAATTCAAAAACGAATATCTGTAGACCCTGCAATTTATATACCATCCGTTTATTTTATCAATGCATATACTTGATAAAATTTAAGCTGTTAACGGATATTTTCAATGTTCAATTTTTTAGTTTTTTTTTTTTATAAATGTCAATAAAATTTTTTTTTGTTGGATCGAAAAGCGTGAAAATTTAAGTCAAGGCTCCTGATACATTGTTTCAATAATAGTTGAAAAATATTAAAAATACATAGGCGCGATTTTTTTTTAAAAGCATTTAAAGGTTAAAATTTTGACAACATTCATCAAATTGAAAATGTAGGTAAGTACAAATTATTTTGTAGTAAAATATTTATGAAATTTTCAACTTTTTTAGCTAAGGATCAAAAATTTAAAACAAATTTATGCACAAGTAGTTTTTTCCGTAACTAAAAAATCTAAGAAATATATAAATACAGTTATTTTTTACATACAATTTAAGTTCAAATTTGGACAAAATTGCATATTAACAGTATTAACACAAAGAATTAGGTACGTTTATCGTTTTGTTGTAAATCGGTTCTAAAACAGCCCAATCTTACGGCATAGGTATAATTAATATTTTTCCAGCATCACTGATAATTTAAGAATAATATTAATTCAATTTACTAGCTACCGTATTAGTAGGTAGTAAGTTGTAAGTAATAACAATAAAAAATATCATAGACCGACATCATACTGCCTCTGCTCAGAATCGTTTTTGAACGTTGTCAGAACCTTCTAGACACCTAATGTACAGCAGAGCAACATCCACTTACCCTCTTTTTCCTTCGATTTAAAGTGTTAGCGGTGCTTACATTAGTCACAACTTACATTCAAGCTACGCCCCTAGTCCCACCCAATTATTTAATAAAACGTATAATAATTTAGAATAAAGCAATATATCCATGATAAACATTAGTCATTAGTTCATTACTATAAATGTATTTAGTATCCTATTTACAATTTAGATGGCTCGAATATACATTTATATAGACATATAGGTATGAAGTACCTACCTACCCAGTGTTAGATAAAAAAATCTGGGTAATTATTCACAATAATATAGCAAGTTCCTACAGGAACTACAGTACATTAAAATTAATAGGTTTTTATGTCTATAACAAATTATAGAATTAGAATAAAGAGTAAACAAAAATAAGAATAATAAGATATGATGCCAAACCTATTTTAAATTGTTTTAGTTTAAGTTAAATACATTCTAAAACAGATTACCTATAATACCAACTATAATTAAAATAATTATAGCATAATAATATAATATAATATAAACGGTATTTGATAATAAACGTACATACAATATTATAATGTTTTAATCTTGATTTTTATGTGGTACGAATTACTAATTTTTTATTATTGATTAATGATTAGCTTCAATCGAAGGTTATTGAGCCGTAATATTACGATTACTAATATTTGATCAAATAAAATCGTTACTAATGGAATTCACAAATTAAGCAAGCATTTTTAAATACAATTTTTAATAAACAGGAGTTTAGTGCAAAATGTCCCTAAAACCATAAAATGCCATAGAAAATAATCTTAAGATTCAAAATTGATAAAAAATGTAAAATATAAAATTCAAACTCTCAAAATCTAATTTTATTGTATATAGATATTTGAAGTATTCTTGAAATGTCTTCTTCAAAACATGAAATTAAAAATATTGTTTTTTTAGTCATCAAACCGAGTGAATTTTGAAAAACGAGTGATTTTCTTTAAAAAATCACTATAGGTACACGAAAGATGATTTTACATTAAATTCTTATAATTTCACAAAATTTGCAATCAACAAGACATATTACTTGTTTATGATTGCAAATAGTAAGTAAATTATCAGTTATCACTTTATACCTCAAAATGCATATTAATTCATACTTTATAGTATGTTTATCGTTAGTACCTATACTATAATACCATCATATTATCATAAGGTAATATGATTTTTAAGTTTCAATCTGAATATCTTGTAGTTTTTTATATATTGAAACGACTATTAATGGAGGGTGGGCTGAAGCCGGATTGCCAGGCCCGTCGCTAAGGCAAAAGCAAGCCATGCGTTGATTTGGAAAATATCTAACGATGGGCCAGCCCTTATCCCTCCTGGGATCTCTATTCTTTATTGTGTGGCTTAATCAATAATAAACTCTTCATTTGAAGATACATAGTTGATAGGTAGTTATGTTGAAATGTTCGGTGTCACCACTCATTGATTACAACTAACTAAAAAAAAAAATCAGAAGATCAAAATTAATAAATAGGAATTACGTATCTAATCCATTTTTGTTAATTGTTAGGTTTTAAAACAAGAACATTATGTTATCATAATACAGAACACTACAGGTATATATAATAAATATATAATATATATATAACGTCTACGATATTATGCTATTTTTAATCAAGTCGAATATTGCAGCGCCATCTAGCAACAATTATATTAAAATATTTTTCGAATGTTTTGTATTTTTTGGGTGCCTACTGTCTACTGTAGTATCTTACTGGTCTAGTACTAATGTACTATACTATATTATAAGCTAGAATGCTTTAATATATCAATGCTATATTTTGCATTTTCATAAAATCATATACCTTGTAGCTTGTACATAATACTTCTTATGATATAGGCATTGATTAAATATTGTATAATTGATCAATGGTATGAGTATATGATATTTATAATATTATGTTCTTGCCTATGACGCTTTGCACTTTTACCTGAGAAGTTCAATGAAATGAAAAAAAATTACAGTAAAATTATTTTTTTAATAACATGTGCTAGTTTTTATATTGATATATAAATATATAATATTAGTACTAGTTATAGAAACATGGTTCATAAGCAAAAATGCCATATTTCATAAGTAAGAACTAGGCAGTAGTTATAATAATAATTACCTACATTAATTTTTATAATTTATAAATATTAGTAAGACTTTGTATCTTTTACAATATTTAAGGAATTTTCATGTAAACACCAGTGAATTTTTTTATGACTTGAGAAACATAACATAAGGGGTAGTTTTGTTGATCAATCTTACAAACTTACATATTATGATCTGAATCTTAAAATTTTTAATTTGGCTCTACAGTCTACTTAATTTTTATCTATTTTTTAATCTTATGGCATTTCAGCTTAGGACTTTATAATAATTATACTATTATAATATTTAAATATAATATAAATACCTTAGGTTATACATCAATAAATATTATTTTTTCTTTAATGTTTAAAATTTGTCATTTTTTAATTGAAGTGTATACACTTTGCTTGATTTTTGAGATTTCATATCAATAACTTCTTCAGGATCAACGATCACTTTTCATGAATTGCCAACAATGTTAACCCATTCAGACAATTCTAAAAAAATGATGTAAAATTAGGGAAAATAATAAATTACATTATTTAATTTACTTCTTACTACATGAAAATGTTCTCTCAGAAGTCAACATTTTATTTTAAATAATTGGTTTATATTGAATGACTATATTATAACATGTAGCATAGGGCGTTTACGTTGGTTTTAGGAAATGTATGGTTCTTTCAGTTTTGCCTATCATATTTTTAGTTCAGCTCTGGTTGACTGCCAAGGTAAAATTTAACAAGTTTTTCAAATGGTTAATAATCAATTAAAAAAGACATGGAAAAGGTAATGAATCAGGTACTCAATATTTAAAATCTTTGATTAGTAACTATTTGAACAAGATATATATTTTTAAATTTTAACAACTCAATCTAAGATTTGCAATATTTACTTATTATTAATTATTTAATTATTTAATATTATAAATAATTTAATATAATATAGCTATTTACTTAAACTACCACTAAATATGCATTTAGAAAAGTTTACATTAGATGAAAATTGTTTAGATAACTCAGAAGTCAATATTTCGTGTAAGCTGACACCATCGTGTTTGTAAATCCACTTGGTACCATTAAAATCATATCGTTTTGGACCACTTGTTGGCGAACTCAACCAAATTTGTTTATTTGGTGTCTGTCGATTAATAACATATGTGCCATAAGGTTCACCTAATTGAATTGTTAATACACCATCCTATTACATTTTATAAGAAAAATTATATTTATATTTGATTGAATTAATAATTGTAATTAGTATACTATATTTTAAATTATACATACGTTGAATAAAATATCTGGATTTTCAAGATGTGGGTTATCTTCAACAATTTGTTCAAAATATTCACATAATGATTCTAAAGTTTCATTGCACGCTTGTTCAAAATCTATTTCAGTCCTAAAAGCAAAACAAATTATGTGTTAATATTCAATTAACATTTGATATAAGTTTTATTGTATATTATAATAATAGTAAGTACAGATTATTAGACACAGAAAATTGTTTAGACATAATATAAGACTTATGTATGTTGAAGTTGCCATAAGGGTTGAATTTCATTTGATGTTGAAGCGAGTAATTTTTAAGATGTGATCGATTGATAAGACGGTAATACTCCCGTTTAAGTAATGTTTTGGTAAAAAATTCATTTTTTGACACTAATGATTGTAGTAGCTTCAAAGTCGTCATGCCGAAATATGTAGTGATTTAAGGATATTTAACACTACAGCTGGCACTGGTTATAAATTGTATGTATAAAACTATAAATGTTTGTATTTTTATTTAATATATATAAGAGGTCCAAATCCAATCATTTATCATAGACTAGAATGCTAAACTGCTGAAGAATAACATAAGTTTATTACAAATGTCAAAGATGAAAGAATCCAATGACAAAAAATATAAATGATGTACTACAGAGTACAGACTACAGACTCCACGGCTTTTGGCCTAACTCTTAAGTCTTATCACGGTTATCACCTTGTCATATTAATATATTAACAATTTGTAGTTCTGTGAAGTTGTTGTATCCTAGATAACTTATCAGTTACGAGTACCGATAAAAAATAATTGATACCATGAAAATAAACATTAATCTAACATTTTTTTTTATTAGTTTTTAGTCTGGTAGAAAATGTTATAAATTTAGTTATAAATTTAGTATTTATTACATAGATGCATGATACTGTGCTGATAATACTTGTGGCCATATTTATATGTATAATACTATATTAATTAAGTGATAGTCAATCATATTGGTAATATTGGTAATGTCTATTTATTATTCAACAATAAATTATCATATTAATAATAATTGTAATACCTAGACACCTAGTATACCCATACATTTCCATAACCATAAATAATTAATCTAGTTTTATTTTCATATTAATTATTAGCAGACACTTACTTTCATTTAAATTTTACACAACTCATTATAGATATTCAAATAAAAAGGTAAGTACTACTATAATAACCTACTTTAACACTGCTATACGCCTATACTAGTTACCAAAATACTAAGTATTTTAAGTTCATTAACCTTAATTCTTTAAGAATTAAATGTAAACATTTTATATTGCAAAATTTAGCTATATTATTATTGAGTTTGTGATTTACTGTCTACTAATATAGGTACCTTAACTCACTATTTTTCCTATAGATTTTGTGATTCTGTGTCATCTCTGATAGTATGCTGAAAAAAATTGCTCCTTTATACTTATCTGATGGTAATTGATAAGTAAAAGATTTTTTGAAATTCTAAATACTTTGAGTAGTGAGCAATTTACTAAAATATTGGCCAATGTAATTTTAGTAAATAACTAATAAGTTATATTTGAAAATTGTCTAAATACAAAATTCAATTTTCAAAATATATTAATTTATTAAATTATTTGTCAAGTTATTGTTACACTTTGGACTTTGGTGTTTGGTATTTGGACAACAAAGTAATTTGTTCCAAATGGTAATCTATCATCTGTATAGAAGTATACGTTAGTGGACATAAGCGCAAATAGTGTTTGAGATTTAGGTGGTAAAGCCTTATTATAATAATAATTAATTATATTAAATAAACTTTAAAAAATGCAGGAAATATTTGGAAGGGACTATTGAAATGTTTGAGGAAGCTTAGCCCCTAATACCCCTCTTTTTTGCGCCTACGATGATGTACCTAAAATATAAGTTAAAAGTTAAAACTAATAATTCTATAGTAGTATAGTGTATAGTTACATTTTCATTTGAAAACAATAAATACCTACCTAACACATTTTAGCCCGATCATTTTATGTTCAATTAACATTTTTAAACACGATTTTCGAAATAATTATCATAGAATAAAATAAGATGAACCATCCGAAAATGGAAATTTAAGTATACTAATTTACCTACAATAACAACAATGACAAGTTAGTAGAAATTTAAAATAACAACTAAAAGTCTTAAAACATATTTCAGTCTACAGACATAGTCGTAATGATGCAAGGGGGGAGAGATCTGGGGAGCTAATATTATACTTAACGCCCTTAGAATAGCTTGTTCTAAAACGTAAAAAATTACGATATTGTTTTCTTTTTATGTAGGTATTACCGATTGACTATTAACTCTATTTTATCCTTAACAATAAAAATAGTACCAATAATGGCTCAGTAACGAAACTAGGGGGTCCCTGGTTTGACTCCCTCGCCACTTTGGCCTTATAAAATAGTTTTCTATTATAGGATATTCGTCGTAATATTTTTATCGAAGGATATATTATTCATTTTATGCTGTCTTATCGAATGTCCCGTTCCTGTTTCAGTGCTTAAAATTCGTTATAAGCGCAGTGAACTATACATAGCGTTATGCATAAAACACCGAACTTCGTAAGTCTACAACTTTAAAACTAATGATTTCCGCCAGTTCTTAACTCATTGAAATATATATAGTCTCCAAGCAAAAAGGTCGTGGTAAAGTAGTTTTGTTCCTTTCAAAATAGGTACCACGGATTAAGACATATCTTATATCTAAGCCGCATTAAAGTAGGTATAGTCCATTATCTAGTATAATATAACAAATTTGAGGTCTTGTTGATGCCACAACCACGTGTGTTGTTATAACAATAAATTACTCATAAAGATCTGTAACTTGATTTAAAATTCAAAAATCAATAAAAAACCTACATGATATATTGTGTCGAACTGTCGATTCACTTTCATATTAAATCGAATTAAAGTCGTAACAATACAAATTTGATTTTATTATTTTTATCGAACATAAATTTGCTAGGTACCTATTGTACTAATTTGTACATGGTAGTATGGTACGTATTTGCAAGACGAATACTACATATATTATGCGGTTGTGGCCCTCTCCTCAATCCCCTTAATTATTTTATTGTAAAACAATATTATTTGTACCCTTTTTTTGTCTCTTATCCCTATTTGTATTCGTTATTATTTTTCTCAAAATTATTAAACAGGTACGCACCTAGGTATTTCTCTAATAAATAATGTGTTTCAATTTTAAACACCTATCTATATTCATATTATAATAATGAAACTGCACGATTTTACCTTACAAATATTATCATTTGTTAAATATTAAACTTATACGAGCATCATACGCTATGCACGTGCAATTTGAATAGTGAATACGTCATGTCAATAATAAACCCAATGTAATTACGGTTGTATTGTCGTTCTTGTTGCAGATGATTTGTTCGGCTCGCCTCGGGTTTCCGTCGCGGTTTTTGACATATAGACGAAATCTTTCGACCGCCTGCATGGACGACGTGCTGTTCGAAGTGAAAAACGACGTGGGCATCATCACGTTGAACAGACCGAAAGCGCTGAACGCTCTCAACACGTCGATGGTCGTCAAGATCAAACCGAAACTGAAGGAGTACGAATCGCTGGTGAGGATGGTGATCGTCCAGGGAGCCGGCGGCAAGGCGTTTTGCGCCGGTGGCGACGTAAAATCCATCACGGAAAACGGCGTAGGCGCCAAGTCACTCGAGTTGTCCACAAACTTCTTCCGGAACGAATACTCGATGGACAGCACGGTCGGCAAGTACAAAATCCCGTACGTTTCGCTGATCGACGGCATCACGATGGGCGGCGGAGTTGGCATATCCGTGCACGGCAAGTACAGGGTGGCCACCGAGAAGACGCTGTTCGCCATGCCGGAGACCGCCATCGGGCTGTTCTGCGACGTGGGTGCCAGTCACGTTCTGTCCAGGATGGACAAGCACCTGGGCGTCATGTTGGGCCTGACCGGGTGCAGGCTGAAGGGCACCGACGTGGCCAAGGCCGGCGTTGCCACGCACTACGTGCACAGTTCCAAGATAGACGGTCTCCGGGCCAAGCTGATCGAGGACGTCCGGGACCCGGGCATCGTACTCGCCGAGAACACGGACGATCTGTCCGGCGTGGAGTTCACTATGGCGCCGTTTGTGGAGAAAATCGATTCGATATTTTGCCACGAAAGAGTCGAAGACATTGTCGACGCGCTGAGAACAGATGGTTCGGAGTGGGCGAAAGGGATGCTTAAATCGCTCAGCGAAGTCAGCCCCACGGGATTGAAAATCACGAGAAAGGAGATTTTGAAAGGAAAAACCCTCAGCCTAGACGAATGTTTTAGAATGGAACATCGACTGGCTTACAGGTGCTCTGAAGCCAAGTATTCTGCCGACTTCTACGAAGGTAATTTTTGTTTATTTTTTTGTTATTATTACAGTAATTTTCATTTTTTTTTTGTTCAGGAGTCCGAGCACTGTTGATTGACAAAGACAAGAATCCAAAATGGTGTCCAGCTTCATTGGAAGAAGTGAAAGATGAAATTATCGACAAATATTTTGAGCCATTACCAAGCGATAAAGAGTTGCAACTGTCATAAATAAATATTAAAATAATAATAGTATTTATTTACTATAATTTGCTTAATATATAATTGTTATTTTTTTATATACTTTTAAACTTGTTTTAAATATAAGTATATGTACAAACTACAAATAGACTAAAATATAATTTTTTTAATTCACAAACTTGATGAACTGCAGTTTTGTTTGTATGCAAATCAGGACACATATAATATAAATTACACCAGTAATTTATGAAATGTATTCATATAAATGAAACTTCATCAAGGCCATATTAATAATATAACTGTGGAAGTATTTTATGGAGCTTATGTTTTAAATTGTTTACATCACTTTTGAAATTTGATCCTTCATAGATGTTAGAATGAACAACAATCGTGTACCATCAAACATACATAATATAACTCAATTCAAATGTTTTCAAACCCCAAATAAAATTTAAAACTGATATTCTTTGATATAATTATAGAGGATATAGAACTTTCAAATATTTAAATGTTTTGTTTTACGCTATTATTACAACAACAATCATTTACATTATTTATTAATCATTATATTCTTACCTATACTCTGTTCACGTTAAGAACCGACTAGTTTTCATCAGTTACGGTCAGATACGTCTCCCACCTAGAGACTCGTTAAGCTAGCGTTGCGGAACGAAGCCATGCGGATAAGTTGGCCGCCTGGGTCGCTTCTAAACGTGAATAGAGTATAATATATAAAGGAAATAATTACTTCACATAGTTATATTGTGAATTGTAACACAGACAGTGATATTTTGAAAGAAACAATCCTTTACAGCCTTAGTGTGTTTGTGTGGTTCACTGAGTACTAAGTACTAACCTAAGCTTGTTCAGGTACTGGAACTATTTCTATAATGTCTATGATTTGAACACAAACATTTTTTATTTTTGTACACATAAAATCAATGGTATAAAACAACAATTATATAATTAAAAAAATAGAATAATCAAATTTTGTATAAACTATGGTTGGCTAAATTTGTATAAAAATTCAATTCTTAATTCTTATACTAGGCATTAAATATAATGACTGTGGTTGATATTATTATGGTGAATTATGGTGAGTAGATGCAAATATTTAAAATATATTCTAATCAATTGCACTTATTAATCTGAAAGTGAATCTAGTTTTACTTTAATTGTTTCTAATGTATCATAGAATTTCTTCAACTCTTCTTCGTTTAAATCCAAAATAACTTCTTTGATTTTAGGTTCATTGTGATATTGGCTGTCTTCAACTTTTAACTCTATTAAACATCTAGGTTCTGGATCAGATAATTCAATTCCGACATTTGATGAAATATTCAAAGCCCAGTTTACATCCTTCAACTTCATAAAGCAAATTGTTTAAATTTGAAATGCATTGGTGAAATATGATATAATTTTAATTACCCTGTATGATTGAGGAAAGTTTTTCTGAAGCCTAGACACAACTTGTTCAGCATTTTTAGACCAACATTCACAAAATAATTCAACTTTTTTATCATTGAACGAAAATAGTGTAGACAACACATTTTTTAGTACCAAAGGTTTTGTCACATCACTTATAACCTAAATAAACAAAATATTAATACAATAGGGTTAAGAAATTTTTTGATTTTTAAACAATATTAACTTCTTTCAACAATTGGCTTAAACAATTCAGTATACACTGACATTGGTTATTGTCCAATTTCAAAGATTTTTCTATGGATGCTAGTTCATGTTCTGAAAACGAAGACAATCGATTTGGTTCAAAATCTTGTATCATCCTGTCGACCAAACGAACAAACTTTTTATCATCGATATTGTTCAACAATTCTAATCCCGAAACAAAACTAAAAGAAAAACAAATTCATTTTCTATTATTATTAAAATATACTCTAGTAATATATAAATCATAAGCTGAATAGTGTTCACTTACAACGGATCTTTGGCCAGATTTTCAAATGACATGATTTAATATTTCAATGATTAATGGAAATTGGAAATGGAAAAAAGGAAAATAGAATTTATAAGCCGATACAGTAAATAAATTAAAATTTGGTACCTAGGACCAATCTCACTATTAACTATATTATAATGCTGTTAACAGTTAATTGTATAACCGAGCTACTACCCGCAAATTAAATAATTATTGTTAATTTTCAATTATTCAAAAATTCTACGGCGAAATTCCCTAATTAATTTTGAATAATGATTAATGAATTCAAATGGTTTAATATTTCGAATTATCGATCTACCGAACACAGCAACACGGCACGCCGACGCCGTACAGTGTACAATTCTGCGGCAGAAAGTTCGAAGTCCTGTACTCTGTAGTAGTTGTTATCGTTCATTGATAAGTGATAAGCGATAACAGGTGTTCATGGATTGGATGATCTAAAAGAAAATCTTCAAGTCAGTTAGTAGTCAGCTGATTGTTTTGTGAGACCTTGGCACGTTGGCTACACCCATTTATTTCGCCAATTCCCATTCCCCATATTGTATGTAAATTGTACGGTCGTACAGATAAGTAAGGTGCTAGGCTTCAGGCGCTCCCGTTCCCATATCATCAGCTCATCTCTTCTGAGTGCTGATCGTTCCCGTGTTGCATAATACCAAAATTGTTTTTAAAAATAAATTATTTTTAATCGGTCATCGTAATGGCCAGCCAAACTCAAGGAATTCAACAATTGTTGGCTGCTGAAAAGAGGGCTGCGGAAAAAGTTGCCGAAGCCAAGAAACGTAAGTACCTAGTCGACAATTTAAGGTGTGGCTGATACCATCTGATATAAGATATTGAATATTAGATAGTCTCCAAATTAATAAAATCCCATACATTACCTCGTACGTCGAACGATTGAATACAATTTTCAGGTTGTTTTACGTTTTCACGAGCGAGTTTTTTGATTCGCAGATATATTTTGATGAGCTGTTCGGTGGGCTTACTGAAAGCCACACCTAGTACTCTTCTAAAATGTTTGGGTTTTGTATACAATCATCTTAAATATAATACTATTTTTTTATCCATATCATTCCAAGTCATTAAACAAAATATAAATTTGCTTAATTTAATAAAGTATAAATTAGCTTTAAATCATTGTTACTAGTTACTATATTACGTTTAGTAGGCGTGGTTTTAGTAGGGTTCTCATTATTTGCTAATTATTAATAATAATTAATCAGTTAGCATACATGTTTAATCAGTTTTTGTTTGATATTCTGATGCTGTGTTACAATAGATAACAATCACTTTATATTTAATGGATCAATTATGAGCGAGTACTGCCTTAAACTCAATTCAGTGGCACTGAACTCATATCATGTGAAGCAAACACTTCACTTCTTAAATTTATAGATGACTGAAAAGTTGCTGTGGGTAGGTGGTTGAATAACAATTTTAGAGTTTGGTGCTACTTTACTGTGGCCTATTATCGGTCTTTTAAATTTAAGTGAACCACTAAGTCAATCAATGTACTTATGCGACTTGTCATATGTAGCCAAACATTTTTTTCTTTAAGGAAGTAAAAGTTTTACATAGCACCCCTTAGTTTGATATTTTACCTCTAGTGCATTTCTTTGTTCTATTGATATTATTTATTAAAATGTTCTCAGTCATTTATTTTTGTTGTGTAATTAGGGCTTTGTTCTGTTGTTTTTTGAATTTAATATCTTAAAATTCCTTTTAAATATAAAAACATTCTCTCTGCTGTAGCAGTATCTTACCCAACTTAGATGTTAACCTATTATTTTATATTTATTTCCAGGCAAAGCAAGACGTTTAAAGCAGGCCAAAGAAGAAGCTCAAGATGAAATTGAGAAATACAGACAAGAAAGGGAAAAACAATTCAAGGAATTCGAAATTAAAGTACTTACTTAATACTTAATATTATAGACATGGATTCAACAATGTTTTTTTCATTTGTAATTCTAGCACATGGGTTCTCGCGAAGATGTTGCTGCAAGAATAGATGCTGACACTAAAATTAAGATTGAAGAGATGAATAAAGCCGTAATTGTTAACAAGCAGGCAGTCATTGATCAAATTCTTGAGCTGGTTTATGACATCAAACCAGAGCTGCACAAAAATTTCAAAGCTACAGCTAACAAAGAATGATATGTGTGTCATAGTATTTTTCTTTTTTTTCAATTCCATATAAGAAATATAAAGGTGTACAAATTTGATTTTGGTTTTAGTTTTCGTTTCACTGAAACATTCCATATGTTGTTCAATTTTATAGTGTATTATTATCATGATTATTTATTTGTTTAGGATTTCAATATTAAAGTTTTAAGAACATACTTTGTTTTGTTTACGGAAGTTCAAAAAATATATATATATAATCAATACTACTATTGTTCTATGTTAAATAAAAATGTTGTGTTATTTTTTCTGATGCAAATACAGTTTGATTTTAAAATCTTCTCTACATTGTGCTATACCAATTGCAAGCAGAAATAATATTAATAAACGATAATGTGCCTCGTGGTTATGACTTTAATATTGTTATTAACAGGGAAGCCATCTTACATTATATGACCTAAGATCTTGCCCTCACCAGTGGCGTAACAAGACGGGAAAGGGCCCCGGGGCAGTAAATAAATTAGGCCCCTTAATTCTAACTATAGGAAAAACCACATTATACATTATATTGTTGTTTAAAATATAAATACCTCTATAAAACCATTAATGAAAATAATAAACAGATAATTAATTGCTACTTAAAATAAAAAGGAAATCCGTTTAATTACTTTATTTTTTATTATTTTTTTTTTAGAAGAAAATATACAATCTATATCTAAGACATAATAAGTATATATGTGCGATAAGGGAAACATCGACAATTAAATATAATTTTACATAAATTTGAAGAAAGAAGCCACCCACTGATGACACTTTCGTCTTGGTTTATCGTAGTGATTTAGTTATATGTTAGTTTTTATATTATATATTAAAATTTAGTTGTATGTTAGTACCCATTTAAAGTAATAATAATATCTGCACCATTTACGTTTAAGTCGCCTTGGAGGGCTACCTGGGATTGTAAGGGATGATAATTTTTTGATGAGAGGATTTGAATGAGAAGAAACTAAGAAAGAGTTATGAAATTTTTTATAAAAACGTTTAGCTTCGTCATGAATAGGCCGGGCCTCGCGGTCTTAAGATCGTGTTAAAATGGTATGAAGTTGCACCTATCTTGTTACCGGACCTGTATGGCTGTTTATAAAACCGTGATTTTGCATAAGATGCCCATAGACAACCCTTGTTAATAAGTCAAAAACATGGTCTAAGCACAGTCGCACAGATATGGCTGCATACGAATTGTGTCTCAAAATACCAAATTATAAATCACCAGTTCTGGTTTTTTTTTCAGCGGCTATTGGTCATGTATCCCGAAATTTCATGGAGGAAAAAGAATCTAGCGAATCCAACCAATAGTATTGTAGCATCATTCTCGGTGACACGGCCACTATCGTTTTTTAGCCGCGCTTTTTACTTTTTAGCCTGTCTCAGAGTCCATGAGATACGCCGACGAAGCTGGAAATCGGTACGCAGGAATCAGTTTAGAAGTTCAACCTTCGCTCTACGGTTTTGGAGCTTGGTAGTTGTTGCTGCGTTTGTGTTGATTTTGTTGCTACTCGTCTTATTTAACTAGTTTTTATTTTTGCCCTACGAAATACCCAACAATAACTGATGATAATACATATTATTATTTAATCGTCACACGATTACCAATTGAGATTTGGTACGTTGTATGTACACGTAGTAAGTTATATTAATTCATATACACACTTTAATCCATTGACGACTCGTACTTACATTGCTTTAACGGCAGGTTAACATTTTGAATCCAATTGTTTTCGTTTTGTTTGTTTTTTGGAAACATGTCTAAGCACCTTGTCGACATGGCGTCCAAGCAAAAAGACGTCATGTTTAACATGTTGTCAATAAAGCACAAGTTACTGATCCCAGGAGAAGAATGTGAAAAATGGTATATTGTTTTTTAGATCATATTGCGTATGGCAAGTCGCTTATGTGCTTATAATATTGTATTTTTGAAATTTAAATCATTGACTAATTGTTTTTCCGTTTCAGTAAACAGCATTCTAAAGATTGGTTAATTATTAATGTGTGTCATCACGTACTCTGTATAGATTGTGCTAAAATTGAAGGTGCAGGAACAAGTTCTTGTCAGATATGCAGTACCATGTTTGATCCAAACACACAAGTCAGTACAGTTACTGAAATGAAAATAGCATTTTCTCAAATTGAAGATCTAGTGTGGAAAGTAATTGCATTAGAGTAAGTTGTATTTTAAATTTGTTTATTTCAACATTCAAATGAGTATTATTTGATTTAACAGGAGTGGAACATTGGACGAATTATATCCTGATGAAGAATTTAACAAGTAATTATTGATGACTATGTATTTAAAATTGATAAATTAATGTCCATAAGACTTATTTAACATATACATCTATTATACTAAATACTGGTAAAAACCTATTTTTTTTACCAAATACTGCTTGTAAATGTTCAAATTTTGGGATCATACTGATTGATAGGTGTTGGTAAATTCTAGGATATATTTATTTATTTATTTATGTATATTAATATGTACGCCAATTTTCAAGTGTACAACTTTTAATAGTTTTTCAGACTTATTTGACATAATTACATAAACAATATTTACAAGCACAAAAATATATTATATATAAAATAGTTAAGCCAAATTAATTCTGAATGATAATTTAAGTTTGGGCTTTAATGAACATAAAGTGTTTAGGTTATTTTAAGAAAAACAATCTATTTTGGTAAAAGTCCGAGATATTATAAAAATCTGAAAGTTATATAATTATTTTTCAACTAAACTTTATCTGTGATTAAATATGACCATATAAAATTATAACTTAATAGTTGTGTTCCAAAATATAAAATGTTCAGATTAAATACAACAAAAATGGAATTAATAAAATGTGCTACAAATTTCATAAACCTATGTTTTTAATAATTTTTTCTGTATTTGACACATGTCAATTAATCATAAAATGTTTTAAATTATTAATTGAAGTAAAAGTTTCTTATTATTTGTCATTGTATCAGTGAATGCTTGGCTACTGTAATATTAAGTATTGTGTAATACATTTTTTGATCAACAGTTCCACAAATTTTATTCTGTAATTTAATATTTATATTTCAAAGTGTCACACCTTTGTAATTTTTTGTCTTTAGTAATTTGGGAGCATTCAAAATGTTGTGAAGGGAAAAGAGTTATGGGATAAAATAGTTTAGTACATGTAACCTTGACTGGTTGTACGACCCTTGTTTGTGGGGTACAATTGTTACCTATTGGCTATTATTAATTCATTTTTTAATTTATGTTTTTAATGATCAGACTGCATGTTAAAAAATCAGCCTGTTACTTTCCACGATAAAATCATTTGACCGCCATTGTTTATTGTGTTATTATTTAAATAAAGATAATTCTAATTTAATTGAAAATTAATTGTGTGACAGATCTATTACCAGTGGTGGTAGTTTAAGGTTGTGCAGATATTCAAGCTTTTACTGTACTATTATTATGTTAGATAACATAACTGAATAAATAAACGATAATAAATGAAATAGTTATAATAATATGTATGATATGTTTAATTGCTGAGCTGTGATAGTCTCTTACTAAAATCTATTAAAAGTAAAAATAAAACAAATATATTTAAAGCTTTAAATTATTATTAAAACAATAATAAATTTGATGTAAGATAATTTTGATTATTTGTTAAAGATTTAATTTGACTAATGTGTTAAATTTATTGATTATTACAGAAAAATAAAACCAGATATGATTCATATTAACTCAATTAAATCTTCAATACAAAACCACTCATCTAATCAAAACACTGAATCTAACGAGGAATCTAATTTAAATTTATCTCAATCATCAGTAGATTTATTTGAAGAGACTGAGGACATTGATATTCCAGAAGAAAATTATAGTCATCAGCCTAATGAATCTGTGTCTGTTAGTGTCAATTCCGATAGAAATGATAAACTGGTAAAATAGAATTTCTATTAAACCTATAACGATAACTTATACTATTATGATACAGTTTTAGATTTTTCGTTTATTTATTTGATAATATGTCTTAACAGATTTGTAAAATACCTAGTATCCGAATGACCATTTTTATTTTTTGTTCATACTTTATTTATACTTTGTATGAACATAGAAACATAATCTGTCATTACTCATAGTTTGATATTATTAAGTCCAACCAATGTTCAACTCAACACAATTTGTTTTTTGTATTCACCATACTTAATTTGGAAATATTTTCTCTGTATAAAGTATACAGTAACTATATGATATTTAATTTTACAATTTAATCACTTGATTATTTCATAAATCAATTCAGCTAATAATAAGGCATTAATTATTCTTTATTGTTTGAAATGTAAAATAATTCAATTAGTTGGTACTTAACTTTGACTCACTAAGTGACTTGCTCAGTAGTGAAAACATAAATTATATGATTGACATTTATTAATTAATGTATATACAAATATAATATGTACATAATTTTAGAACAATAATATTTGTAGAAGTTATGAAATAATTTTATATTAACTTTCATCATATAATGTATAATATGTTATTTTTGTATGTTATTTGTTTATATAATACATATTATATTTTTTTAATAAATTGCAATAATTTTGGATACAACAGTGAATAGATCATAACTATGAAATAAATTATTTTTGTTAGATATTGATTAAAATAGAGTTTAGCTGATAATGTAAGATAATATGTTAAGTTTAAAACCTAAATCTAGGTAATTGTAAAATTGTAATTGACTAATAATTAAAGAAAATTTTATATTTATTAATTAAAATAAAGGAATATTTACAATATGTTATATTGTTTGCACGGCAAATAAATTTAAAATGAATTGTGTAAAGAGAAAGTCCCACCAGTGTGGAAACACTCAAAAGAATATTATATGAATAAAAAAGAAATATTGTTTATTTTGCTTTGCAAATCAGGTATTTAACTAATTTTGTTGTCTTAATTCAATGATCATTAGTTAAAGAGAAATTAAAAAAGAAAAACTATTTTTATTATAAATTATATAATGCTTACACAATTTTTATATCTTATGAATATAAATCTGAATGTAAATATTGAATTACCTTATCTATTATAGGTACTCCAAGTTTAAACACTTACCTATCAGCAAACATACATACTTAGTCTATGTGATGTCCATATCTATGATATTTTTATAAGTCTATAATGTCTAAGATCTATTGTATACTAATTATAGGGCGCACATAGAACGTCTATTCATAATATGCAATTTTGCAATCTTTCATTAAACCTAGAGTTGATTAATCTTCGTAGATATACGTAGATACATTTTAGATATCTCTTATTGGACCATTTTATGCACTTGTTTTAATATATGTATAGGAGTAAATTTATTTTATACGTTTTTTATTATTAATTTGTGTTAAAAATTTCACCTACTAACTAGACTTTATAGTAGTACATAAATTACACATAAATATATATTACTAGCTGTTCTGCTCAATGTTGTATATGCCAAAGATTTGTTTTTTTTTTTTAAATATAATATATATAAAAAAAATGTGCATGTCATATTTATACCAATTATAATATTACAGTAGGTAACCTATGGAAACCATTTAAATAAACAAAAGTATTGTTTTTTGTGAGCTGAAAAAAATGATTGTGATATACTTTTTTGCTAACTATTGGGGTTGAAATAGGCTTAAAACCTGGATATATTCTATAATTAAAAACAAATCATTAATATAATAGTAAGATTATAGTTACAGAGAACATGCTTGACAAAGATTTCTATTTTCACATTTATTTAACAGAACACTGCTATTATAAACAATATGAAACTATAAACTATTCATGTAATGAGCATATTATATAATTTACTCATATAAAAAAAAATTAATCAACCTAAAACCTACTACAACATAATATTATTATTATTAAAAAAATTTAAAATTTGAAAAAATATTCAAGACTATAAATAGCTCATTAAGAGCTGTCTATGGAAAATGCATATACTATGTATGAAATATTAGTAGTTTTTCAATTTGACCAAAAAATTAATTTTTTTTTACTCGACTTTTTTGAAAAATACTTGGAATTTCTAACGCTTTAAGTTTTATTTTTCTATCTGAAGATATTATGCCATGACTAGAGCATTTGTTCTAATGTCTGTCGGGTCAGCTAGTAGTCAGAGTAGAAAATATAAGTAAATATCTCGGCGATTATAAACGAAAATAATTCAAAATTTACCCGCCCAACGTATATTCGTATATAAAAACGAAATGTTTTGCTTTTCAGTGGTGGGTTCTAACCACGAATTAAGATATACATATATGTATATCTTAATTCGTGGTTCTAACGCGACGACTAGTTTTCACATGTTTTTACCATAGATTATATGGATCTTTATTGTCTAATATGGTTTTCACGGCCGAGTCCGCTGCAGCAGAGTACACGACCATGATAAATTTTGTCATGTACACGACTGTCTAGTGTCTATCCATTATCCAATATTAATGTTATCGACTGCCTCAGTGTATAAAACTATTAAAACTTAAATTATCCATGTTTGTGGTGGTATCGACACAGAATAGATGAAAGTGGTATCGATGAAGTGGTATTCTGTGGTATCGATATTATTGTAGTATATTGGTATCACATTGCTATCATGTCTATTATAGCACCACAGATTAAATAAAACTTCAATTAATTAACTTTATTTAATCTGTGATAGCAGTGATAGCACTAGCCGCAGCCTGCAGCTGCTGCGTATAGCACAGAACTCAGTAAAAAATCGTAGATAGTACACTTTTATTATCTATGAACAAACAAATTAGTGGTACGAAATTACAAAATTATAAAATATAGTGGTCTGTGTCTAGTTAAGCTGCCGATCGTATGTTCCGTAGCCTGATGCTCGGTAGCCGTGTTGTTTATTTGTATTTTATCTATTAAGTATAAACCTTGTGCTTGAGATAAAATATAAATAACCACTTGTTTTGATTTTACCGCTCACATTGCTCATAGTAAATAATATTAGTGTAAGTGTGTAACATATTTTTATGTATTTTCTTTTGTACACCTTATTAATTAATACTTTTAAATGATTCGGTAAACCTATGAATAACTCGGTACGATGTATATTTTATTTTACAATTACGTATATATGTTGTTTTGTCTCTGCGAAAACCTGCGCATGGCTGCAGAATGTCGACCACAATTATTGGTCCATGTTAGGTTTTTCAACATATTAACTCGCACATTCATATCGTATTCGTGTAGTATAATATGATATAATAATGATGATCGTATTTTTACATTTTCCATTTCACTGTTTGATCTTTGAATTGTTCCGTAATATACACAGGCAGTTCCCGATATTGTCGCTGAATGGGACACGGACTCGGACTCCGAGACTAAATTGTGCGATTCGCAGAATACGGATTCCACTGTTATTGGTACGGCTGTTGACTTTCAACGCATAGATCAAAGTATGAGCGGTAGGGCCGAAGACAAACGTCATGAAAAAAACGACATAGATACTAGTAACAGTGCCATTGAGCCTGATGAGGACGTTGTCAATGGAACGCCTGACAGATGCCATGTCTCGTAAGTCATAAGTGCTTTGTCTGAAGATATTTTAAAATATTTTTTCACAGTTGTAACATAGTATTATGTGGTGGTGATGTCAATTATTCTTACTCATATGCATTTTATACTTGTTCTCAGCAATCCTGTAAATCGTTCTTTAAGAAACGGTAATATAGTTATCTCATACACCAATGTTGAAGATTGTGAACTTGAAATTCTGCAGGAGTTGGTAGATTTGTTTGAATTAGATGCACGCGTATCGTGGAGTGATAGCGTTACACATTTAATTGTGAAAACTCTTCCAACTGGTAGATGTATTCGTACAAAAAAGTTTATGAATGCTTTATTACTTAACTGCTTTATCATTACTTTGGAATGGGCCAAAAACTGTTTAGCTTCAAAGACATTACTGCCAGAGGTATAATATGAATTTTACACAGTTTTAATATTTTAAACAATTTAAAAAAATATATTCTACTTCATTCAAGGTTGATTATATACCACTTGAGTTTAGTGGTGAACCATCCCCATTGGTGTCTTGGCGTGTGGGACGTGGAATTATTGATTCACCGATGGAATGGACTAGAAATTGCATTTTATATCTTCATAGCTCTATTGAATTCAATGATTCACATAATGACATTATTGTAAGATTCTTAATTACTCTAAGTACTTATATAATATAATAAATATTATCATGCCCATAAAGCTTAGGAAAGTTTTTTTTAAAAATTGTATTAAAATTATATCAACTAATTAATAATGTTGAAAAAATTATTGTCTTGGCAGGTATGGGCTCGAAGAGCTGGTTTCGTGTTAACCAATGATTTGGGAGAGTTTAAAGATCACTACAAAATGAGAGTTATATTGGCTGATAAAATCTTTACATCTAATGATGTTCGAGCTAAATTACCCAATAAAGCAGAAATTACGAGTAAGATAATTGATAATTTTTTAAATAACCCTATAGAATGTAGGTAGCTTATACATTTTTCTTTTTTAGATTGGATATGTCACTATAAAGCTGTAACATTATTCTTAGATTGGTTTCTCGAATGTCTTTTTCAATACAGATTTGTTGTAGTTAGTCAATATCACCAGATTATGAAACTAAATCCAACCCTGGTGGACTTTACCAACATGGATGAATCTATATTTCAATATGAAACTTGAAAAAATGATTTTTCCATTACTAAATTAAATATTTGAAACAAAAAAGGTTATTTTTAAAATTAATAGGTTTTATGTACCCATAAATAAATGTTTTTGTTTTTATTTATACTTAAGTACAAGTTTATATTTTTTTAATTTTGTGTTAATTTTTGGTTCATGCCATATGACTATTTTTTTTTTTGTATTAATATTAACGGAGTAGAGTACAAATGGTAGTGACATTATTTATTGACTAGTTTTTCCTGTTAAGAATTAGAATGTTGAATATTATGATTAAAATGGATTTGAGTTATTGATATTAATAATAATATATTATAATTGTTCATTAATTACAAATAGTTTTTGATTGATTGTTTTTAGTAGAATCTATATTAATATTTAAGTTATATATTTGATTTTCTAATTAGACACAATACAGATTTATGTTATATATGTTTTTCCTGAACTTAAGGTTTTTTGTTCATTGTATTTTTGTCTTATTTCTATTAAAATTCAAATAAAAACATTAATCATACCATTATTTCAAAGTTGTTTGTCTTATATAAATTTTCTTATCCAATCATGCAGTGTAAAATTTTAATGGCTGGGCATAATTAGCTCTTTTTTCAATCATCTTAGAAAACATTTTACTAATAAATAGGGCTCAGTTTTTAAAGCATATGTTATTTCTGTGTACACAATAAATAGCCGAAATAATGCTTTCATTTGCATCATTAGCATATTTTCTGATGGGAAAATGAGGCTAGTTGTTGCTTTCGGGGCAAATTAAAAATTCCCAGTCATTTTCAAATATGTCAGGAAAAAAAAAATAATCGAAAACAGGAATTTTCACACAAAATCATCTTTTGACAAAATTGATTTTGGTTTTATTCATAATATTAAAAAATAATATAGTAGATACAAGCTATTTTTACTGAATATCAGCATTTTCTACACTCTATAAAATATTCAGAATATTTTGGCTTATGTCAAGCTATTTCTAGGCATATGAAATTTAATATTTTTATTAGATTTTTTAGGTTAGTATATTAATGTCAATTAAATAACTAAAAAAAAGTTAAATGTTTGTAGTTAGGATTTTGTCAATTTTTTTAAAAATCACTAGTTTTAAAATTATTTCAAGTAAGAAATTCATTACATTTTTTTTTAAATCTGATATTTGAAAATTGAATCTAAGATTTAATCTAAGTTTGTCTACCTTTATCAAAAAAAAAAAAATGTCTTCTAGGAAATCAAATTGTTGCATTGGATATTCACTTGATTTCTCAT